CCTGGAAGGAATACTCATCATCACAAGCTAACCCCCCATTTGGCTTTGACTCCCACACCAAAGCCACATGGGGAGGCAAGTAAGCACTCTCCATATCTCTACTGTGTTAATACTTGCCTGTGTGAGATCCTGAAGATGAAGTCACTTCTTGAGAGCTTTGGTACTTTCCTGAGTATTTCTTTGCAGCATTTCCTTGATGATGGCTCTTTGATCCAGAGTATGGATAAGGACTGAACTTGTGGCTGGCTCTCTTTGTTGACTGGGATCCCTGTAGATGGTGCTGCTGATATTCATGCTGTCAAACAAAAAGTGAAAGGTTTATTTACACACAGCAGCTTGACAGCATTTCAGATGAGCAGCTTGCTTTCTTGTCGTTAAAGCCCAATATATAAGCCATAGTCCCATAAATCAGGTTGGCTTTGTTAATTGTGTAACTCTTAAAACTACAGTGGCATCATGTGACAAAATTGTTTATGGTCAGTTGTATTTGGCTGATTGTCTGAAAGTGCCATAACAGCTTCAAAACATGTCAAATCTTTGATGTCTCATCTTTTCACATTTTCCATCCCAATTATACAGGAATAGCTGTCAGTGGGTTAATGTTGTGGTTGAAAGTTAAATAATTCAGAACTAGAGTTTCTTAGAGTTCAAACCCCCTCTTAAACTCAAATTTTCCTAACTCTAGCTTGAATTTGTTAAAATAAAAATTAACAGGAAAAGATTTACCTGATAGTTTTGGGAATACCCAGGTCCTGTACTTGGTCTCTGTTCTGGCTTCTGGTGCTGCTGCTGCTGCTGAGGTGGAACCATTTGTTGGGATTGATGTCCTGCATCATATGGCACTTGTCGACTTTGACTCTGACTGCTTTGTTGCTGGTGGTACTGCTGCGGTGCCATGCTTTGCTGCCTGTGTTGTGTCAGGTCAGGCTGTTGCCCTTGGTGTCCCTGCATTCCAGGGTACTGCACAGACTGCTGCACAGGCTGCTGTTGTTGTTGCTGCTGCAAATGGTAAACATGCTGGTTGCTTACTGCTCCTTGCTGAACTTGATATGCTCCTGATTGTTGCTTTGGTTGGTATCCCTGTTGCTGAGGGTGTGCTTGATAGGACTGCTGTGTTTGCAATTGGTGGACACTTGTACCATGTATAGGATAAGACTGGAGATGTGCTTGGTCCTGGCCAGAATGATGCACAGGGTACCCATGCTGAGTTCCTTGGTTGTGTGATGTTGGACCTGGTTGTTGTTGTTGTTGCTGTTGAGGGTGTGGTGGAGGCTGTTGAAAAGTTTGTTTCTGACTGCCATGTTGTATGTATTGTTGATAACCTGGTTGTTGCAGCTGCACATGATATGGAAACTGCTGCTGCTGCTGCTGTTGTTGTTGTTGTTGTTGTTGCTGTTGTTGCTGCTGTTGTACTTGGTGACTTGGAAATGCCTGCTGATTTTCCTACAACGTTATAAATTCACTGACAATAAATACATTTAATATATTGAATTGTGGTACATGTAACTGCCATGGCAGCCTCCTTATTACCTAGAAAATACCAGTACATCAAAATTTGTTTACACTATCTAATACATCAACTTGTGTAAAAAAAAAAAATGAAGATGGGAGACAATCAAAATTGGAAAATTGCTTGTTCATTGAAAATTAAGAGTTTTCATGAGATAAATTTTCCAAAAAAGCCAACAGTGTTGACACCTTTCTATTATGAGCTAGCATTCATGTTTAATGTATCCTGGGATTACTTCACTCCACTAAAATATCTAAATATTCACCCTTTCACCCTTTAAAAGCTTTTGTTCTTCATTAGCATGGTGTGCAACTGCAGAGTCAGGAAGGGGAGAACAACATGAAATTACAATGAAATAAACCCTCATATGAATCAAGGTCTAGAAACTGAACTTATAAACCCTTTGCACCCTAGCAAGAAGGAAATGCTGTCCCTTGAGCCACAAGGTGAATTTTTTATTACACTACACACCTGCTGAGGTTGTCCACCTTGTTGCAATGGCTGTCTGTTGAACTGCGCTGGTGATTCTTGAGGTGTTCCAGTGGTAGGGAGCTGTGAAGGTGGGTGTTGCTTTCCTGGAAAACGACTTTCAGTCTGCAGAGTAAGAAAAAGTGTTAAGATTATCCTAAAATTATGCAAAGTGCATTCTTGATATGCATTAGGGTCTTGACCCACAAGGTGTTATGCTACTACAGTCAAACCTGTATTAAGCAGCACCACACTCACAGTCACCCTGTATTGAGCGGTCTGTTGTCAAAGTCCCAAAATTGTTACCCCTTGATTACGGTAATCTTCAAGCCTATTAAGTGGTCACCTCTACCCTTTAACTCCCAGAAGTGATCAACATGAAACTTCTCCCTGTAACATCTTTTCAGTATCCAGCAAACAAGTAATGAGAATATTCAAACTTATCAGGTAGAAATTGTCATCTTGATCTAACACCAAATTCTGGTCACTAATTTACAAGGAAATATGTAGCAGTAAGTGGGGAGAATTAACAATCAGATCCTGGGAGTTAAAGGGTTAAGTGGTCCTTAAGTCACCCTTTACTGAGTGCCAACCGCCTTTTTGTACTGTCCTCCACCTGTATTGAACAGTCACTTTAAGTGGAACAACCCAAATAAAACTAAGAATAATCTTTCAAGTTGAATGTAATCAACTTTAATCTCCCAAGATCACTGTTAGTGAGTTGTATTTTTGAGTGAGTTTTTGCACATTAAGTGGTCAATTATGGCATAAAATGGCGATTTTACTTGTTTTTTGAAACACCCTTATTCTGTGGAACCTATATTAGGTGGTCACTCTGCCATTTCCTGTGAGTGATAGGTTTGACAGTATTAAGTGATTCACTTGAGTAACCCTTAACAAAATCTTCAAACAGGTTTAAGAACAACTCATCAGACAACACATTTAAGTTAACATTGTTGTTATTGATCTGAATACAATCCTTTGGAGAGGTTGGACATTGATCACTTGGATTAATGTTAGTATCTGAGCAACTGCATACCTACCCCTCCCCTAACCTAACATTAACCCTAACTAGTTACCAGTTGACTGTTGTTGGGTTAGGGGAGGGGTAGGTGTGCAATTGCTCAGATACCAGGATTGATCCAATCACTATCCTTATTCAAGTTTGAAGAACAGTGAGAAAATCTCTGCATCAAAAATATATCTATCTAAAGGCACTTTTACTAGAATGAATGAATTATGCAATAAAAAAAAAACAATCTGGAAGATACCACACACAAAGACACACAAAACATCTTTTATTGTATACATTATGGAAACACACACATCAACCTGATTCCCTGTGATGACAGGTGCTTGTACCTGACCATGGGGATACCCTGGAAATCTCTCTGGGGCTGCTGTTGGACGCACCTGTGCTGTCTGAGATGGATAGGAGGCATGTGGGAGTTGAAGGTTTTGTAGCTGTTGTGAATGAATTTGTGCCTGAATGAAACCTGAGAGGGGGTGTGCCCGTGAAGGACTACTTGGTCTTCTGATCACACCTGATAATAAATGAAAACAAATCTAGCTTGAATGAAAGTAAGAGCTACATTGTACTTACATGAAACAAAATTTGGTGGCGCAAGGTAATCATGATGTGTCTTTTTGTTTAGTTTATTAAACAAAATATTACTTCCAGGTTCAAACCATTTGCTATTGATTACAAGAAACAAGTATTTTAGGGTATTCATGAAATTTCAGTGATTCTCCTAGAGCTGAAAATAAAGAATATATCATGAGAAGAAGATTACCCTTATTTGAAATTTACCTTTAAGTTATTTTCTAAGTAAGAAACCTACCACCCACTCTGTATGGAGTAGACACTCAATAAAAACTTGCAAATCCACATTTTAACCCCAAGCAAAACGAGCATTTATGTTAAAAAATGTACATGCTGTTGATTTACTATGTACTATGAATGGCAAGCAGAGAAGGCATGATTGTAGCAAAACTAGGCAGCTGCTTTGCTTTCAAATGAATAAAGGGGGTAAGTTTCTAAAGAAACTGTGGTGCTGTGTCAGTGGGAGAGTACAACATGGTAATTTAGTATTATCAACTGAGTTGATAACATAAATTGGCCACTGTAAAGAGTTCAAAAGCTGAAATTTCGCTCTAACGAAGGACTAGCGCTTGAAACGTCTGCTTTTAAACTCTTCACGGTGGCCAATTTATGTTATCAACTCAGTTGATAATACTAAATTTCCCGGCTTTGCTTTCAGTTTGCCAACAAAAATAACTCGATGTTGGACAGACTTAACAACTGGAATACCATTCGGACTAGGTTGGCTCACAGGAACTCGATTTGTGACCTTTTGAACCAAAGCGTTTTCTTGTAGATTTTGATTTTGAAAATTACGTATACCATTCTTATTATTGTCGTGGATGATCACACACCTGAATTGGGAACAGCGTCCATCAATCCAGGTTGCGGAGGCACACTTTGCGAAATAAAGGGCTGTCCAGTTGGTAAACCAAGAACGCCTCTAGAACTGGTTGTCACATTAACAGATGCCTTCAACGCAGCTTGATTCTCCTGCTGTCTCTTCAATTCGTTTTCATAATTTAAAGCTCTTTTGAACTGAGAAAAAAGATCGTGTTTCTTCTGCTTCAGTTGCTCTAGTTTGGCTTCTAATTCTGCAATTTCCTTTTTGACATCTTCTACAGTTTCCTTCTTTTTTTCTTCTTCTTTTTTACGCTGCTTTTCTTCTTCTTCCTTTGCCTTGCTTTCGGCCAATGCTTGCTTTCCTTTCTCCCGTTGTCGCCGTATATACGCATGCACAGCCCTTAATTGGGCTTTTGGCGGACGAGTTCTTTCGATCAGAACAGGCATCTTCCACTCAAGTTTCAAAGTAAAGGCCAATTTCAAAGCGATTTCAATATTTGAGCGAGTTTTAGTTTAGTTATGGTAGCTGTCTACGTCGCCATTTTCTGGTCTGGTTGTCCATACATAAAGTACATACTTGGAAACAAACTCCGCTGAGCGTTTGGCAAGGAACGCGGAAACCGAAAAGAATTCATTACAAAATTCACCAAATTTAGAGTTTCGGCAAAATGTTTAGTAGGAGGAAAAAATCCCCCCGTCCCCAAGAAGGACACAAGAAGAACGATCTCTCCAATTTGGTACTGTATATTTCATATATTTTTTTCATTAAATTTGTGTCGTGTAAATTTGGAATGTGTGGGGCATGACTCAGATCTCTAGGGCCTAAGTGCTAGTGGAAACTGTAACGATGCTGTGTCAGGCGACTTAAATATGATTTAAAAGTGCCACAATAATCGATATGTACCATAGTTATTAATTGTAGTTGATGTTATTTTTTTATCCTTTTCCATCCGCTGTCTTAGGATTTGAAACATGCAAACGTACTACATGAGAAATTTCGAACTTGCTCGTCGCATCAGCGTTTGAAAGCAAGCTAGATGTTTAAGAAGTCATGCAGAGAATATTTTGAAATACAGCCTTGTAAAATATTAGTCACTTTTTTTATTGTGGTGAGGGTCAATCCCGTTGATAGATTTAAATGTTGGTATCCTTGTGAAATACATTTGGTGGCCATTTCAGATGTTTTTAGCATTGGGTAAAAGTGTCAGAAACTAGTAGGGGTTTAATAGAAACGACAGAAAATGCCCAAAACAACAAATATCAAAAAACAATGACATTGTGAGCTTGTTTAGTTATTGGTGTGATAGAAGAGGAGTGGTTATCAAGGTAAACAGACATGGTGGGCTTGTATCATAGACAATCACGAGTTGGAGGAGGTTCGTTTTTTGCATTAAGTAGTTACTGGCTTAGAGGCACATGCAAAGTAGTTCTCAACTTTATTCTAGTAGTTGAAATTGTATCCACCATCGCATCTGGCAATTTTTTTTCGTGAATTAAGTCATCAAGAGTTTTGGAGAAGGAAAAAAATTTATTTTCTTATTCTAAAGGCTATTTAAACTGCAGGAAAAGCAGGTATGGACCTATCAAAACTGATGAGAGTGGTCAAAACTGAATTTTTTTCAGAGTTTTGGGTCCTTAGATGCCTCTGGCCCAGACCTTAATAAACAGGGGTCTGTACCCACCCTAAATAACATGGTGCACATAGTTTCCACAAATTAAATATTGTGGGTCTATACTCTTTTCATGGGGGGTCTGCACCAGATTTTGCCACATAAACAGCTTCATTCCCACTCTTTTGTTTGCTGCTATTGGGTGTAGTTCGACTTTTACTTGCTCTTTTCTCTATTTGCAATGTTATTTATTTGTTATTTCTTATTTGCTGTTCTTAATACAGCTTGGACTTGATATCAACCCAGATGAAATGGCTGCATTAGGGATTGGGGGGATAGGAATTGGTAATGATGATGACGATGATGACGAGGATGAGGATGATGAAAGCCTTGAAGCAGAACTGGCAGCTCTACAAGGGCAGTCATCATCTAGAGGAAAGAAGAAAAGTAATTGCCTTGTACTATGTTATTGATAATGTTTTTTAGTTGACACATAATAAATTAACAAAAGGGAAAGCAAAAATTGTCAACCTTTTCCAAATTTTGACTTTAGAGGTAATTTTCATTTCAATCAGAAGCGAACAAATTGACACAATTGGTACACAAGTATTATTAGTCGTGCTTGCCACTTAATAGCGTGGTCCAGGTCTGATTCTCACAATGGGTATTACATGCAGACTAAAGTTTTTATCAGGTCTCTCTCTTGCCTCTAGGTTTCTGCCATGGGTTCTCCATTTTTCCTTCCCCTACAAAAACCCATTATCTCTCAAAATTATTTTAATTTAACCATAACTCTTTAGCCCCCAGGAGTGATTGGCATCTTATTTCTCTACTCATTGTCACTAATAAATCAAACATTAAGGTTACAAAGGAAACAACCCCCCACTGAAGAAATTCTTGACTGTTAAACAAATTTTTCTTGTCGATACTGTAGAGATGTAGAATATGTATACTGATGTTAGCATGTAAAGGGTCAAGGGCGAAGGACCAAGTGTCATCTTTTGTTTGTATTATTTACTTTACTCATTCGGCAGAACCAGGAAGATCTATGGTCGGATTAGATGAGGATGACTTTGGAAATGATGATGATGATGATGATGAAATTGATGAAAATGACCCACAGCTCTTGGTAGGGCTCTTTTGGGTGTAAATATTTTTTGTTTTTGAGGTGATGTTTCATCCAACACCAGTGTAAGAGAGTATTTATTAAGGATTTATGAATGGGTGCATTTAATACAAAGTAAATTTGTGGAGGTGCATGTAATTGAGGAGTCATTTCCAGTCATTAAATCTAGTTTTTTACACAAATATGACACCTGTTAGTGTATTGTCACTCCCCGGTTACTTCACCATTTTAAGAGTGCATTGTTACATCCCTTATAGTAAGTACTTGCACCATCATTGGTCAATTTTGCAGGCCATTTCTCACAACATGATGGGGCTAAATGAAAATTTTTGTGTTAGTTTAAATCTTCACCCTCTATTTGAACCCAGCAATAAAATAAATATCTTACCAATCTTGTCTTCTCAGTCTTAGTTGAGTTTACTCTACCTGAATTTATGGCCTGCATGTGTTGTGTTTGGGCCATAAATCTGAGCAGAAAAATGTTGCCTATAAGTTACAGGACAGACCTCAAACTCGGTTGGTAATTAAAAGGTATTTCTGATTGTGCGTTTTTTATGAGGTAAGTTTACATTTGGTAACCATTGCATTTTGTCTTGAAGGCTGAACTTCAATGTATTGCTCCAGGAGAAGATGGCTCAGAGCATCATGATCCAACCCCAGTCTTACTTCCCTCTGTCCCAGCGTCAACCAGCAGTGATCAGGTAAGATAATTTGGGAAACCAACTGATGCTGACAGCAGTTATATTGGTGAACTTTTTACAGTTATAATTTAGTTATTATATAATAAATAATTGTTATCATTAATTGCTATTTTTTGTAATTTAATTGTAAACTTTTTATTTGAGCTGTAAAACAAAATCATCTACATGTACTTCCAGTAAAAAAAATCCTCAAGTTGCCTGATTTCAACATCAAACTGGAAAGTCACCCACTCTTTATACTTCTTGCGTTTTTTAATTGTAAGGGTTCAAAAGGGAGTTCTTCACAAGTTGACTTGTTGTTAGAAAGAGAGAAAAACTACAAGCTGGCAATAGAAAATGCAAATAAAGCTGGTGAAGGAAGCAAGGCCAGAAGATATGGCCGAGGACTCAAGGTACAATCATCAATATTATGATCACCATGATTTATTTTCCTTTTTTAACAATAACGAAAAAATGAATTACAATAATTTACAGCAAGATAATAATAAGGCAAGGAGACCTCAAGATACCTGACAGAGCTTATGGGAAAGGCCACCTTATCTGTAACTGGCGACATATTTAAGTGTTGCGAGTTTGCAGCTTGGCTAATTCAGTGATTATTTTAAATAATAGAAACTCTGACTGACATTTTCTTCTCAAAGCAGAGAAGACTTGACAAACAACTGACTGTTACAAATAAGAGAGTTCCAAATTTTAGGACCTTGGTCGAAAATTGTAAATTGCTTGAGATTTAAATGACACAAATACATTTGATAATTACTGACTGTTTTGGTGTCATAGCTGTGAATTTGGCCATTGTTTCACAAAAAAGATTGAGAAACATTGGAGGCCTAACGGTTAGTGTACTGGAACTCAGGCTGGAGTTGTTTGGATTCAAGATCTGGTCAAGCCAGTGTGTTGTGTACTTGGCAAAAATACTGTACTCTCACAGTACTTCTCTCACCCAGGAGAAAAAATGGGTGCTGTTGAATTGTCAGGGAAGCTTGATGAAATGCTGGGGGTGACCTTATGATTGACTGACATCCCATCCAGGGGGGAGTGGTAATACTCTTACTCATTTCGTGCTATGGAAACTGGGTTAAGCTCTGAGGGGAGGTTCACAGTACAGACTTAACGTTTACTCACTAGTTGACCTGTTAGTTATAGGCGTACAATTTTGTTGGACAACGTCATTTTAGAACTATAATTTCTCCTGAAACTCAACCATTGTATTTCTGCAAATGACGAGTTTACAGTTTTTCTCTTTTATTTTAGGAAATAGAACAAATGATCAAGCAGGCTAAAGCTGGGAAGGCAATTGATCTGGATGCAGTTCCTCCACCAGTGGCCACTGGAGCTGCTAAACCTTCAGCTCCAGTTTCTTCTCAGCCAGTCCAGGATTCTGTTCCTGAAGCACAAGTGGATCAGACAGCTAATAAGTCCATAAGGCTTGAAACAACATCCCCAGAAGATGTATCCAGACCTGTCCAAGATGGTAAGTGGTGAAATTTTTTTCCCATTTACACTTCTCCCACCAAGTACTAGTAGTTTTTTTTCCTTTTAATTTCAACCCCTATTCTCAATCTTTAAGGAAACAACAATTTATCTTGAAAGATTGTGTTCTTTTAAATCTGTAACTTCTAATTTTGACTGCCAAGTAAATAAAGATCAAAGTGGTTTGAAAAAAGAAAAACATACATGCACTATAAGAACTTTGAGTTTGTGATCAGTCTTAAGTAAGTTTGTGGGAGAAGCACAGGTAGCCCACTGGTCAGTGCGCTGGACTCCTGAGGCAAAGCATAGGTCTACACTCTATCTTGGCATTGTATTGTACTGTGTTCTCTTTTAAGTCTCTAACAGAGGCTCCCTCTTCCCAAGGGTAAATATGGCCAAACATGGATACTATCAAACTGTTTTATTGTGACAGATCTTGTTTAAAATGATAATTAAAAGTACAAGAGTAAATTTTGCTTTAATTTACTTTTGGTCACAGACAGTCAAAAGCCCAGTGAATCCAAGGTAGGTTTATATTTAGTTACTAGATATTTATATGTAATAGGGAGTTAGCAGTTGGGAAAAAAGAAGCCTGAACTTTAGTTTGCCAGTTTGGATTGGATAAAAACATGTAGGGCCCAGAGAAAAGAAAAACCCTCTTGGATTTGAAAGGCCTTAATGTGCCATTGAGGCCTTTTAGCCCTAACCCTCTTTAACAAAAATCCTCCTATTTTGCCACTTGTTGAAGGCAACAAAAGAAAATTCAGAAAATATTGATGGGGCTTTGTATTATTAAAACAGGACATTTTTTAATCATCAAACTTTTGCAAGTATTAAAGGTACTCAAACAATTATAAGCTTAATTATGTGAAAAATGAAAGCATTCCAAAAATTTTGATTTAGCCTTCAGATTCCCATAGCAGCAAACTGAGATAAGATTTTAAAATTACAGTATTTCTCATATGACAATCAGTTAGACTGTTTTCTTAAGAATCCTCTGTGTACTTGCATGTGCACAATTCAGTACAATTCAATCATTGAACTGCCAAAGAATCTAGTCACAAACCGTTTATTGAAAATTTAATTAAACATAAATTTGTTGTGAACAATTTTGAAATTTGCAGTGCTGTATGCATTAAATAAGCATTTGATATAATAACATATTTTTTTTGCAGTAGTCTTCTTTTCCAGTCTGAAAAAATCCTGGATTCTTATGCATGCAATAGTGAGGCACAATAACATTATTGAATAGATCAAGTATTCTTTAAGTTTTCTGTAATAATGTTACTGTTTTAGCCTGGCAGTGAAGGTGCTCAGAATAAAGAGCTTTTCATGACGAGACGAAATCAGTACAGAGTAGCTGCCCTGACCTGCAAAAAAGCAGGAGAAATTCAACAAGCCAAACAGTTTTTGGCAGTGTCAAAGGTACTTAGCAAACCTGCATTCTCACATTGCCATCATGCAGTTTTCTAGATACTGTTGTTCAATAATACTTTGAATTTAGAAAAAATTTAATTTAACCCCTTAACTCCCAGAAGTTATTAGCAAGTAACTTCTCCCTACAATATTCATGCACCATCCAGCAAACAGGTAATGGGAATACTCAAATGTATCAGGTTGTTACCTTGATCTAACACCAAATTCTCAAAACTTATTTACAAGGAAATGTGTAGCAGCTAGAGGGGAGAATTAACACTCACATGTTGTGAGTTAAAGGGTTAATATTCTAACACATACTTGTTTTACATTCGCCAGCAAATAGATTCAGCTATTGAACTGTTAGAGAAAGGTGAAGCAGTAGATATTTCACAGTTACCTCCAGTACCATCTGTCCCACAAGCATCATCAGGTATGTTCACTACTGTATTTTTGGTAATGGCAATTATCATAATAAAGCAAAGAATAAACTTAAGGAAGCTGTTCATTGTTGCAAAACACTATCTAATTAATAATTGCTATCCTGCGGAAGTTTTATCCCAGGTCTTATGATGTGGTCGCGTTTGATAAGAACGCTTACACAAGACTAGTTGCAGAGCACCTATGAAGCATGATACTTTTCCCTGATGGCCCTAATTTTTCAACAGCTCTTATTGAGGCATTTGATCCTTCCTATTTCATTGAGACATTCCCTGTACTGTTGTCGCTGTCTCTTGTTGTGGGGCTCTGTTTGATTTCATTGGTTGTAAATGTAGGCATCCTTGCTTCTGGAATTTGTGTTCCAGTTCCCTGTTTATTTTGTTGTTTGAATTCTCAGGTCAACTCCCTACACCCTAATTTCAGTATCCACATTCTCTATGTGTTTCCTTTGGTACCCACAAGAAGGATTCATCTTACAATCAAGACCTGGTTTAATTTGTGATCATTTCCTTTAATTTTATTACCTTAATTTTTGATTCAGGGGTGATGTTGTACAGAGAAATTAGATGCCAGTCACTCTAAGGGTTTTAATAGTTCATCACTTCCTTGACTCTACTTCCACATTTTGCAAGTATTCTTCAACTGGAGATGACTGATTATCATTTTCTGTTACTGAGACTGATGTTCACTCACCCTTTTGCCTTTAATAGCTATGACTCCACCAGCCTCCCAAGAGTCAGTTGCACCCCCTGCTAAAGCAACACCAAGCAGTGCAGCTAAAGGAGAGGCAGGAGGGGAAAGTAGTTCAGCCAAAAGCTTGGAGCCTCCCCCTCCCCCTAAAAATGTTGCAGAAGCTTTGCAACAAAGATTGGAAAAGTACCAGCAAGCTGAAAACCAGGCTAAGCAAGAAGGCAACTCAAGCAAGGCACGAAGAATGGGGCGCATTGTTAAGGTCAGCTCCTCTTTAAAGTTCATAATTAGTTTTTACAATTTTCTTTAAATTAAATAGCATTATTAAGGTCAGCTCTGCTAATTTAAACATCCTTTCATATTACTTTATTTTTGATTATTAATTATGAATGAATTTCTCATTCCTTTAGGCAAGGACAGAAGTCCCTTTAAATACATGTACCTTGTATTATTAGATATAAGCATTGACTAGATTTTTGAGCAAAAGGAACTAATGAAAAACTGCTTGGCAACTTCTGGCAAATCTAGTTATCGTTTCTGTAACTTAGCATAATTGAACTGCTTTTAAGACATGTTTGCAAGGCTTGGTCCTCCATTAATGTTCCAACTGGTTACCGGTACTCTTCTACAAATGGTCCAGGCTCAAGTACTTGAATGTGCTTTATGATACTCTTGGACCATAAAAATGAGTTTTGATAAGGTTTTGTTTACTTATCACAAATAAAAAAACAGCAATATCAAGATGCTATCAAAAGCCATAAGGCTGGGAAACCTGTGGACTATGAGGAACTACCGACCCCCCCTGGATATGCACCCATACCAGGCGTAGCAGCTCCAGAGGATGAACCAGCTGAAAACTTTTCTGTCCCTGAGGTAAAGTGCAAATAAAGTTATCTTAAACTTTAACAGCAGAAGAGACGAAAAAATACTTTAATACAATACTTTTATATGTCTTGAGGAATTCAGCAGAAAAGAATCAAGCAATTATCAAAGGTTCTAGTAGCCTTCTGTTCTTTCCCTAGACTCAGTTGATTCAAAACATTTCAATTCTTCATGTACATAGGGTAAATCCCTTTTAAACCTAAGCACTGCTGATTTGCAAATCTTTCCTTATTCATATTCTCAGTTTTCTGAGCCAAGGCAAGGGGCAGCACCCCAAACAACTGCTTCTCCTTCTGTTGCTGCTGGTGCTGCAAGCCCTGCTGCCACAAGTCCGTCTCCACAACCTGCCCTACAACCCACGTCATCTGTTCGTAAATCTCCTGGCCGCAATGAACAGCAACTCAATTACTTGCTTGAAAGACAGAAGGAGTTTAAGACAGCTGCATTGCAGTCCAAAAAACAGGGAGATCTTGAAGGTGCCAAGAACTACCTAAGAATGAGCAAGGTTAGGAAACACATTGAATCTATTTGTTGAATATACTAAACAGGAACAGGGCTCTAGGGTTCTTAAATTAAAGAAAGTTTCAACCTATATCAATAATGAAGGGATTGTTTTGTACTTGTGAGCTTAAAATTTCAGAGCCACAGCTATGTAATCAATGGATGTACTACTTGGTGAAAATCAGTGTTGGGAATCTTACATAAAAGAAGTGCTGACAAATGGCATCTTCTTTGTTCCTTAGGGTCTGGACAGAATGATTCTGAGTGCTCAGAATGGACTGAAGGTTGATTTAGGATCAGTAAGTCTAATACATATTTT